TTACTGGGGGCAGGATCAGGCCTGTTAAGTGGGTTACAGACAAGATGTCTTGCAATAGTGGCCCCCAGACACCTACCAGAACGTGATCAGGCACAGCATACTTTGCAATCTTGGAAGCAACTATAGATCTGAGCTCTTCTTTAACACGTTCTGTATGAGCTGTGTCTTCTTTTAACACTATGAAAGCAAAGGCACCTAGAAGGGAAGTAAACAGAGGGCGTGTACTGTACATTAAATCATGGTTGGGAAAGGCATTCATTTCAGTTGGACTGCGCGCATAGGTGCTGTTTCAAATGCCTGTAGCAACTGTCAGGGTTAGGGTCTACCTTGCTCATTCTGAGTAATACCTCACACTGCAGGTGCATCCAAGAATACCAGCAGCTTATTTACACAGTAGTGGTGAGTAAGGATGGCAGAATCAGGTCCTTAACGATTCATGTGCCTTGTTCTGGAGTCCCTGGACCAGATTCTGATCTCAGTTACAGTGATGGTAAATCTGGAGTAACTCCACTGAAGTCACCAAGCATAACTGAGATTAGAATCTGGCCCATGGAGGTCAGGATTCTGGATCCTGTTTCAAATTATTTTCTTGAGAACAAACCTTTATTTTCATTTACTGAAATGGAGTCAAACACTACAGTAAAACACTATCCCCTTATAATGATAAGGGGATAAGGGCTTGTCTACACAGGGACAGCCAGGAAAATTAATCCAAATTAACTAAAGAAGTGAATTTGAACTAGATTACTTAAACTGAATTAAATCCCTCTGTGAACACCCTCATTTGGAATAAAAGTGGCCTTAATTTGGTTTAGCTTAATTCAATTCCAAAGTGAATTAAGCAAAACCAAGTTAAAGTCACTTTAATTTTGAATAACAGCATCCACACAGCGATTTAATGTAATATAATTAACCTACTTCAAATTCACACCTCTAGTTGTTTCAGATTAATTTTCCTAAATGTTCCTGTGTAGACAAGCTCTTAAATAATTTCTCCCTCCCCACAAACTAGGAAATTAATGCACAGTGAAGTTCCTTCACTTAATCCTTAACTCATCTTTTTGTGTCTCGGTGTATGGGACATAAGACTCATAAGGGGAATCTGGTATCTAAGATCCCTGCACCCCATAAGCATGAGTTATGGAAGCACTGCTATTCTACTGGCCCAGATTTAGTTTCACTTACAGGGATGCAGCTCCCATTAACTTTAAGGAAGAGTATGACTTAGGTCTGGGTCCATGCTACAGACGTATATCAGTATCACTATGTCACTCAGGGGTGTGAAAAATTCACACCCCCAAGCGACGTAGTTATACCGACCTAACCCCCAGGTGTAGACAGCACTATGTCAACAGGAGAGCTTCTCCCATGAGCTTAGAGTGTCTTCATTAAGGCGCTACATTAGTACAGCTGTGCTGATGCAGCATTTTAAGTGTTGACTTGCCTTTAGAACAAAAAGGATCCCAATGATGTTATGCCAGTATCTTAACAAGGGGCTCCCACAAATATTTTCCCCTTCAGTCTGCGATAAGCTTCCTGGGGCAGAGATCACAGATGAGGAAAGGAGGTGGTATCCAATTCTTTTTTAAATAAATAAAAAAAGGCTTTCTCTGAGTTAAATAAGCAATGGTGATTGAATTCCAGCAAGAATAAGATTGGTCTGGTCCTTAACTTCATTAGCGGGGTACGGAAAACTGAAGAGAGAGATTTGAAGGTGGCAAGATTCAGGGTCTGGTGCTTGTCAGTTCTAGAGCCCCCCACTGAGAATGCCTATCCCTACGCCTTCTGCAGGCTTCCCTCTGGAGACTTCAAACTTTAATGTCTCTGTTGACATCAGCTGTCACAGTGAGGTGCTGAGAGAAAGCTGGTCTTTGATTAGCTAGGTTCTCCCGTTAAGGGCTTTAAGTATCAAGAGCGGATCGTTGAAATGGATCCAGAAGTGCACAGGGAGTGAGCAGAGAACAAAGTATCAGTGTGATGTATTGAACTAGCCAATCTCCCTTTCAAACTGCCTGCTGCTCTGTGTACTGGCTTGGCAGAAAGTTGAGGGAAAGGTTACAAAGGAAATTAGCCATCTGTATATTTCCATTAAGGACACTATTTTACACACTTACCTTCTCCTTTGATCTCATGGGGGTAACCAATCACAGCCGTTTCAGGTACAGCGGGATGTTCATCCTTTAAAAAAAAAGTAGCAAAATATAACAGCCCCCTATTTCAGGCCATGTTAGGTATGTCTACACTGTAATTAGACATCTGCGGCTAGCCCATGCCAGCTGACTCAAGCTCAAGGGGCTGCGGCTAAGTGCTGTTTAATTCTGGTGTGGACATTCAGGCTCGGGTCCCCACACATCGCAGGACCCAAGCCCAAATGTCTACACCACAATTAAACAGCCCCTTAGCCCAAGCCTGAGTCAGCTGGCACATGCCAGCTGCGGGTTTTTAATTGCAGTGTAGACATACCCGTAGTGTACAAGAGCCTATGCAAGCTCTTCTAGGAATTGCAACAAGTTGCTAACTGTGTGTGAAGTTCTTAATACCTTTCCTACTTTTCTGAGCCTTCTGTATGTGCACAGTACCAAAAGGTCAACTTCTGCATAAGAATGGCCACACTGGGTCAGACCAAAGGTCCATCTAGCGCAGTATCCTGTCTTCCGACAGTGCCCAATGCCAGGTGCTTCAGAGGGAGTGAACAGAACAGGGAATCATCAAGTGATCCATCCTCTGTCTCCCATTCCCAGCTTCTGGCAAACAAAGGCTAGGGACACCATCCCTGCCAATAGCCATTGATGGACCTATCCTCCATGAATTTATCTAGTTCTTTTTTTAACCCTATTATAGACTTGCCACATTAATGCTGTGCTTAATGAAATTAACAGGAACCATGTGTGCCTGTCTCAAAGCAGCATTTAACCCATTAGTTCTGGTTCAAAAGGGCCCTGTTTTTAAACAGCTGAATAGTATTTTCTGACATCCCTTTTGGCTAATAAGAATAAATCCAGAAAAAAATGCATTCTATGTATACTTGGGATTAGCCCCTATGCAGCCAACCACTACCAGTGACTGGAGCAGCTGCACTGCTGCAAACCCCAAGTACAGACGAAGCTGTGGTTTGCACTAACTCAGCCTCTCCTTGCTGGAAATGAGCTTTTCTTGCCTACACCTTCATTGATGCAGCCCCACTCACTGCTGATCCGCAAGTACAGTCAAGGCCTTGAGCTTCATTCTCCACCGCTTTGCACTTTGGGTAGTCGTCTACACCAAACCAAGTGCAAAGCATCTTTCTTATATCCACTTTTCACTGGTGTAAATCTGTGCAGGAGGTACAGGACAAGGCAGTGGAGAGGTGGGCCTCAATCTTCCAACAGATGGAAGAGGCACTGCCAGGCTGAATATAGATCTTTATGATTTATTATATGGCTTCCGAATACAGACTTATTCTGCCCATGATTCATAGTTAATATTGACAGTCTTTCTACACTGATAGAGCAGATCATGTGTACAGGCGGATAGAGCATATATTCATCGTAAACCAAAAATGGGTTATGCTATTTTAAATTTGATTAAAATATGGAAGAAATCTTTCTCTTAGCTGGGCTTCTCTGAAAAGCAACCTGCATGACAATATATAGTTGTAATCATATTAGGTCTTCAAAAAGCTATCATCAAAAGTTTGCACTAATGTCGCTAAGAGAGTTATTTGTAGATACGATATTACAATCATTCCTGCAATGTAAAGATGATTTTGGTTTATCAAATTTCACATGTGATTAATGTTTGCAAGTGAGGCACATCATATGCAAATAAACGCTCAGGTCAAGCTGTATATAGAACTGCTTTGAGAGACTGTCTGTTCAGTTCTGTGGCTACCATGACCTCTCATCTAGATGATGGGCCAATCCTCAGATGCTATAAATTGCCTTTACTCCATATTTAATGTTGGAGAAGGTTACAAAACATGCTCAAGTAGTATAGATAGGCCTGAGCCACAAAGCTGAGAAAAAAAACATTGACTCCATCAAAGCTACTGGTGGGAGAAGCTAGAGGGAAGTTTTGAAGCCTCCACCATCCAAAAGTAAAACTGCAACGGTATGAAGTCACAGATGTATCTTGAAGAGATGAAATACGATTTAGATCTTATCAGTTCAAACAAAGGAATTGCATGTAGCCCTTCACTTTGATATCCTCCATAAAAACTATCTTACCCTGAATGAGCTTCATCCATATGCCCTTCCATGGTTTACATAACAAGATTGTTTTCTTCAGCATAATTACTGCCTTGTGTACTTAGTATCAAGGGTGTGTGTAGGTGAAACCTATACGAGAAAGATTCAGTGGCAGCAATGTTAAGTCTTACACAAAAAGAAGAACAGGAGGACTTGTGGCACCTTAGAGACTAACAAATTTATAGAGCATAAGCTTTCGTGGACTACAGCCCACTTCTTCTATATGC